ATTTATTATTTATTATTTATAAAATTGATCTGCATTTTTCCCAATAAAAAATCCTTACATATGATTTTTTATATGTGGTCAACTATGTTTGTGTTTATTGAAATTTGTAACACCCCAGTCAACTATGTTTGTGTTTATTGAAATTTGTAACACCCCAACATTGTATGTACTGGTTTAATTTTGTTGTTTTCTTATGTTGAAAAAATTTATCTATAAATAAGAAAAACAATCATAAAAACTTGGCAACAAACTCATGTGGCATATTTTAGTTACATTTAAGTGTGTTTGTTGATATTAAAAATAAGTGTAAAAAAATTAAAAGGAAATGCATAAATTGAATTTTTTAATAATTCTTAATTTTTTATTCTAAAGTTAATAATACTTAAAACATGCTTATTTTATACTATATAAATTTTAATTTTTGTATAAGTGGAAAATAAGTATGTTTTAAGTACACAAATGTTTCTATATATTGCTGCAAAAAATAAGTGTATCCAATCAAAATTAATGATCATCATTTTATTGAAATGCACTTAAGCATACCTCTCTATAAGAAAAATAAGTATAAAATAAGTAGAAAATAAGTATTTAAACTTTGTGTAAGGGTTGATTAATTCTTTTAACACGAGACTTGGTGAAATTGAACAAGTTCTTGAATGTTACAATAATCATTTTGGTAGAATTTCATCCGAATTTGATTCAATTAATGAATCTATCACAACATTCCAAAACCTATTTAATCAATGTCATGTTCATGGATAGATAGTATGGAGTAGTGAGATGGAACCGCCATTTTAAGGTTTAGGGGCCAGCGTCTTCCTCCCTTTAAACGTTCTCTACTCCAATATTTTTTTATTGTATTAGTTTAGTTGGTACCGGTTCAATTTCATAAAGACACATCTTAATTTTTTAAAATAATAATAAGTTCACATCTGTATTTTTTGCTCGATTATCAGGAAATCAAAGATTCGATGCTTTGCATCATATCCATACTGATATCTGTCTCTTTGAGAATGTGCCTGACTTCTTTGATACCAGTCTCGTCCATGTCTCCATCCTCTTTGGGTATTATCGCATCGCCATAAACAAAAGAAGTCCCATTATTTTTATTACAAAGCAATGCCACTTATGTGCCTGTTGTATGCACTTCAAGTCTCATTTAATCCATGGCCCTGATCTTCTGCGATCCACTTTTTCAAGTATATAAGTGTATACTTACCTCCAATAAATTCTCTGGCCATAACTTCTTTGTGAAATCAGAAAAAAGTTCATAATTATTCTACAAGATCTTTCTCAGATGTGGCAGGTATGAAATAGTCGAGTAAAGGGAAGAAATTCAAATTTGTTAATCTGTATGTTGTACATTTTAATGGGGCTGTGCAACAAAATGCAAAATAAATTGACAATCAATTCATCCTTTATCTGAGCTAAAACCATGTCTAATCCCTCCAAACGTTTGAACTTGGATTCCTATAACACAATTCCAATCAAAAACTGGACGTGCGATAAACTAGTTGAAGATTACCATGAGAATTTAGAAAGAAAAAACTGGTCATACGTGCTAGTATAAAAAAAGATCTTATAAGTATTGCAAATTTGAATTCTGTCTTTAGTGAGGAATGCAGGAAAAAGACACAATCAATCATTGATCATTGGAAGATAGTTTTATTAGTAAGATAAAGATTTTAACGAGTTAAAAAAAGCTGGTGACTCTTAGTCACAGTACTTCCATTTTGATTGCAGACTGGGAACTCTTAGTTCATCTCATTTCAAAGCTGTAACTCTTAGTTCCAGTCATGAACTCCTAGTTCCATTCACATTTCAAGCATAGCTGGGGACTCTTAGTTCCAGTGACACTCCTAGTCCACAGTAAAAACTCCTAGTTCAACGCTTGAGCCAAGCTGTAACTCTTAGTTCACAGTGATGAACTCTTTGTTCGACACAATGAGTCTTGCGAATATTTCTAATTCTCTATTTTGGTTTTTGCTAAGTACTGGAGAACTGAACCGAAGAAAAACAACATGATCCTGAAATGTGACTGTTCACACTTGAAGATTGAGACATTGCAGGTAATTTTTAATCTGAATATTTACAAGATAAAATATACTGGGTAACATTTCCTTCCGATTAGGTAAAGCAACAGATGCTTGCAACAGGAAGCACACCAACCCAAATTATTGGCAATTGAAAACATTATCGAGATAATAATGGAGAAGCTGTGAAGGCAAGTTCTAATGAAATTTATGGTAAAAACAGTGATCAATTCGGGCTAATATGAGAAATTAATATGTACTTATCATTATCTCTTTTATTTTTCCATCTGATCTGAAGATGATAAATCCCTGATGATATTAAAAGGTGGTCTCCAGATCATGTCAAAAAATTCCTTGAATCTTGCATGAAAAATTCAGATTTTAATGAAACTGATATTAAAAAAATTCGAGAACAAGACCTTATTGGTAGGGCCTTTCTCCATTTGACTGAAGAGAAGTTAACTCATAAACCTGGCCTTTACAAGCTCAACCCAAGTCCAGCAAAAGGAATTATAGAATTAGTTGAGGAGTTGAATGAAAAACTAGGTAAGTAATTGGGATTATATGAAGGAAGAGTCTTCATTATACCATAATTTCAAGCTTCTTGTCTTATTCATGTCATTTCTCTTAAGCTAAGGGAGAAACCTCATTGAAGTCGTAACTGTCACCAAACTGATTACAATATTTTTCAATCTTAGCTTAAATTAGAATAGAAAAATTTCACATGTCAGCAACATAATTCTGCATGTATATCTTTTTTTAACAATATATTAATAAAGCATTAGCTTTCATGAAAAGGCAACAGTGGTCTTTGTAATTAATCATGCTTATTTATTTATGGAATTCATCTAATTAAGTTTGGATAATATCAGGTATGATAATTTACAAAGAAATGAAACCTTTTCTTCCTAATATTACACAAGATAGCTTGCGCAAAAAAACTCTTAGGGCTAGAAAACTTGTTTATTTTTAAAAAGAATTGCAAAATGATGAATGGCCAATCAAATATTACGATTACTATTATAAAAATAATAATATTAATAATATTAATATTAATCATAATAATAATAATATGGTTGGCTCGGTCTAAAGACCTCCTATTTCTGCGCCACGTGGCCAAATTTCAAAAATAGCAATTTTGTAA